AAAAAAAAAAGGGCAAAAAGCGCAGAACTGCAGCTGGCGAAGGAAATCGCTGTTCTCAGCCCCAAAATGAGGAAGGAGGCCGGGCTCCCCCCTTTCTCCCCCCGCGGCGGGCGGGCAGCGCACACGCACGCAGCGGCACGGACCCGCGGCCCCGCCGCCGCCCGTGGGCACCGGAGCGGGCTCGGGGCCGTGACGGGGCCGCCGCGGCGGGGCCCCGGGCGGGCGCGTGCCCCGGTGCCGCGCGGAGCCGCCTCCCCCCGGCCGCCGCGCCGCCTCCGTTGCCGTGGCACCGGGGAGGGACGGAGCCGGCCCCAGCTTCGAGACCCCCTCCGGCTCCCAGCAGCCCCGGTGCAGCGCCGCTTCCCCCCGCGGCGGGGGCGAAGCCAGCCCCGCCCGCCCCGGGGCAGAGTCCTCCGGTCAAGCCGGTGTGCGGCTGCCTTAAGGTGGGCTGGGAGGGGACCCCCGGGACCGGCCGCCAGCAGCCCCGGGATGCCCGGTCGGCCCGGGGGGAGGGAGGCGGCTCCACGGCCCCAGGGATGGGGGCCGGGGATCCCCCGCTCTCCACGCGCTGCCGGGGTAGCCGCCGCTTGGGCACGGCCGCGATACACAGCGCCGCATCCCCGAGCTGGGATCGGGGTGCAGGAGCACACAGCCTTCGGTCCCGAACACCCAGGGGCCACCTGGGGCTGAGCCAGGACAGCTCAGGCACAAACAGCACACGGCTTTGGGGGTCCCAAGTGCCCAGGGACCTCCCAAGGGACCACGCAGGGCCGAGCTGTGAGCCCGTGGCAGAGGCACGGGTGGTATTTTGCAGGTCAGCTTGGCCGACGGGGCTCAGGGCCAGGAGGGGACGTTGGTGCAGCACAGACAGGCAGAGGATGGATGGGGAGGGAGAGGGAATTCCTGCACGGCGCTCTGGGACGGTGGGGACATGCCCGTGATGTCCCCTCAGCGGGGAGAAGCGAGAGCCTGAGGACAAGGCAGCTCTGATGGTAGGCAGGGCTGAGGAAGGGGGTGTCAGCATCCATGCGATTCATGTCCCCGCACCGCTCTGCTTGTCCCCGCCACAAAGTCCTTCCCAGGGGATTCACAAGGACACATTCTCCACTGCCTGCACCTGTCACAGCTTCTCACACCACCCAGGTGTGGGGACTTCAGCCACGCCAGGTACCTGGGATGCCAGGTGCAATGCTGGCAGCTCCCTAGCACCACCCCACTGTCCCCTCTGCCCTCCCAGGGACGGGGTAGGCACTGCAGAGCAGGAGCTCCCAGCCCACCCAGCATCACCTGCAGCATCCCTGGCAGAACAGATCGCACCAAGCACTCCCCCACACAGGGCTGGGTCCCTGAGGACAGCGCTGGGTGCCATACTGGAGGACCCACTGCCAGTTCCCCCCTCCTCCCCTCCCCAAGCAGCCGCCAGGGCTGTCGGTTTTATTTAGAGCCTCGCACAAACACAGCCGAGATATCTGAAGTGACTTGGCACCGTCAATCTGCGCACGGCGTCCGCCTGCGCATCCCCGGCCCCGCCAGCCTCCCCCTCAGCCCCAGCTACGCCCATGGGGCACATCCTGCCTTAATTTAGCACTGCTGGAACCAGGAACAGCTCCCCAGGCTTCTGCACTCACCTCCCTCTGCAATCCCCTGGCAGCTGGAGGCTGCACTCGAGGGTTGTGGCCAGTACTGCTCCCACTGGGAAAACTTTTGTGGCCAGCAGCACTGGCCTTGGAAAGCCCAATACAGCCATCATTTCCCTTCACAGAGCTGGCCAGAGCGGCCAACAAGGAGCAGGGGTCCAGAGGAGCCCTTGGATTTGGCCTTTTGCAAATAGCAATAATTTTTTTTGCATAGGGATGGGGACACATCACTACAAGAGCCCACAGGCACCTCACAAGAGGAAGCAAAGGTGTTGAGCTCTGGTCTCTGATGACCAGTGATAAGACTTGAGGGAACTGCATGAAGCTCTGTCAGAGAAGTTTGAGGTTGGTATTAGAAAAAGGTTCTTCTACCAGAGATGTTTGGGTACTGGAACAGGCTCCCCAGGGCACTGGTCACAGCCCCAAGCCTGCCAGAGCTCAAAAAACATTTGGACAATGCTCTTGGACACAAGGTGGGATTCTTGGAGTGTCCTGTGCCAGGACACCCCATTGGACTCGATGATCTTTATGGGTCACTTTCAGCTCTGGATATTCCATGGGATTAGGAGTGGTTTGTGGAACCCTGCAGCTTCACCCCTGTGGGCAGTGCATCCTACCCAGCCCTAGTCCAGAAGCAGGGACCCTCAGGGCAAGTGGGTGCCCAGCATGAAGGCAAATACCAGGGACACACTGCAGCCATTCACAACCACCTTTCCTGGTTATTTTTACACGGAAGCACAGATCCTGGAGGCCTGGTTGGCTTCAGCCTGTCTGGGATGTTCTGCTCAGCGTGGAAGGTTCAGACAACCTGTTCTGAGGCGATTACAGAGCAGAGCCAGCCCGCAACACAAGCAGCAGCCACCGCAGAGCGCTCGGGAAGGGAACTCGGAGCTTAAAAAAGCTCTGCAGGAGAAGGTACCGCGCAGAGCAGATGGTGCGGCGCGAGCTCCCCGGGAAGAGCTGCTATTGCTCCCCATTAGGAAGCATATGGGCAGGCTCAGCTGCCTCCCCTCCTACCCATGGCCCTTCCACTCCGCATCACGGGCCCTGCTCCAAGGCTGGGAGGATTCACCCTGGCAGGGCAGCCCTTGCCCTGCACTGGGCAGGGAGCCAGGGTGCGTTTGGCTCTTTGTACGCCTGAGACAGAGGGACTCCCAAAATTTTGGGAGTGCAACTCTGCCATCAGCATCATCATCCTTCTGTACAGAACACCCACAGTGAGCAGGAGGCTGCAGCACTGCTTGGCAGGGCAGGCAGCGCTGCCAGGCTCTCTGTGCTGCCAGCGGGCACCCAGGCTGCTCTTGCTCTGCAGCATCTCCATGCTTCAGCTCAAAACCCCTGCTCTGGCAGGCAGGATTCCAGAGACCCCAGTGGATTCCAGAGCTCTGCTCTCCCTGGCCCCAGGAGCTGAGCAGCAGCCAGCATGGGGACAGGGTAGCATTTCAGAAGAGCTTTTCAAGAGTAAGTTGATTTTCACAGCTTTGAGGCACAGTGAGGAACTCGCATCACGCTGCTAGCATCTGTTTGGGGTAGGTACGGGCTCTGTGTGGCAGGGCTGGGCCAGGCTCAGCCACTCCCAGAGGTTTGAGTGCTGGGCAGGCAGGGATCTGCTCCCCTTCCCTATTCCCAGCCAGAACCACAGACTCGATGCCCTTTTTGCATTCCCTTGCTCCCAGCTGGCAGCTCTGCAGGATCTGCTCTCTCCCCAGGAGGAGGTGGGCACCCATCCACACACAGGGACCCTCAGCCAGGGCAAGAGCACCTCATCTCTTGTCAGAGCCTGGCAGCATCCAAAAGGAACAATCACAGCCTTGCCAGAGTGATCCCAGTGGAAAGTCCTGCAGCACTGGTTTTGCCCAGACTGTTCTTTCATGCCTTAATCAGCTGCATGTCTGATCTGCTCCCAGCCCCCGGGAACAGCGGGGCTCCCTCGGCTGGAGGGGATTCACAGGGGACGGAGGTGGGAGAGGTTCCAGTCCCTGCCCTGCAGGGCCAAACCTGGGCCTGTTAATGAATCACATTTCACTGATGGAGGTAACTGCAGTCTTTCTCTGCCGGGGACTTTGTCCCTCGTGATCCCTGCTCCAGCAACGGGACGGTGCAGTGGGAGAAGTACCAACAGCCTGAGTGGCCACATCACACCTGGACACAGCAGCTGGCCCAAAATGCTCAGTCCACCCTTCACAACCCAAACCAGCTCAGGGATACAGGAAAAAAACCACTAAAACTTTGGACGCCAGCCTGGAAAATACCCAAGATTTGGCATCCAGAGGTGCTGTTTTGGGGCTGTGGGCACAGAGCCATGCCCAAGCACCAGCGAGCAGCCAGCACTTATGGGAGCCCTCCACAATAATGACTCAATGATCTTAGAGGTCTTTTCCAACCTCAAAGATTCCTCGATAATCCAAAAAACACAGTGTCACGGAACTCACCACCCTGGGGAAACTCAGAGCCACCCCAGCCCAGTCCCAGCCACCAACTCCTCCCAGCCCAGCCCCCCAAAAGGTGCTACTTTCACACCTCGCCACAAGAAAACACCCTGCGGGGCCAAATCAGAGCACAGGCCCACACAAGGGCTGTTCTGGCACAAGCCAGTGCAGCCTCCAGACAGACAGAGAGCAGCATGTTCCCCTATCCATCCTCCAGTTCAAAAAACAAATTCCAAGACCCCTCCAGCTTAAAATCCACATGGACACATCCTACAGCCTCCCCTCACCCCCACCTCTCAGGCTTCAGTCAGCACCCAAAGAGGGCTTTCAGCTGGGAGAGAAACACAAATGTCTCTTGAAGCAGGGAGCACCAATTACACTGCTGATATTTAGGGCTTCCAGCACAACAAATGGAGCTGCAGCTTCATTAGGTACTTTGCCAATTTAATCCGAGACATGCAGTACAGGGGAAGCTTAAATTAGTTTATCTCATGTTAACTTAGAGCAAGCAATATGTTAATGTGAGCATGGTTTTCATGGACTGTGACCCAAGGAAGGGGCACATACAGCCCTCTAAAAGTTGATTTAAGAAGCAGGGGTATGTATCCTACCTGTCTCATGTTCCTTGGAGAGCATCCACCACCATGAACAGAAGAGGTGCACCACATCACCCCCTTATATGGGACAGACCCTGGAGTGGGTAATGAGCTGCAGGAGCCTCGTTAAGGCTGTGATTGCCAGGAGAAGGGTGGGGGAGGCTGTGGAGGATGCTCTGTGAGCAGCCAGTGCACGAGCTTTGCCCCTCACCTCTTGAGTGGGCTCA